TGCATTTCACAAAATCACCCAGTGAAAACACCAACGTCGAATCGACGCCAATGGAGTCGAAACAGCGTCCCAACCGTCAGTTTTCGTAAATAATTAACGTTTATTAATTAATTTTTGTTTAAATACCAGCACAGATAGAAGGATGACTCTGAAGTCACATGGTGTGCTGATTTCCTAAGATTTTGCCTCATGTTTTATTCGGTTTAAACGAGGCAATTGATTATAATTGTTTGACCAATCGGTATTACATTCTGTATTATATTCTTATCCGGAACTTTCTATGATCTCATTGTAGTTTCACTGAAGAAGACCCGAAGAAGGGTCGAAACTTTGGTTTCTTATTAAAAAGAAATTCTGACTTTTACTGTGTGAGAACTGAGTCCTGTTCATTTTGTGGTTTACACTGGCACTTTCTACGTAAGTAATTAAGTTTTGGAACGTAATTTTTTGTATTAAAATCAATTTGTATTAAATTCTGTATTAAATGAGTTCACTCCAATAAGACGTTAAAAGTGTCCGGAGCGTTGAACGCGGTAACTTAGAGACAGAAAATTACGGCAGGCAACGGTCCGCCTCGGCTTTTTCGCGAAGGGAGAGTCGAGCGCGAGTCGGCCGAAGAATCCGCGAGAGAACATCCGGCGGTTTTCTGCGGATAGCCCGCGTGCGCGTTTACAAGATCCTATTTTTCATCGAATCTGCACGTGAGAAAAGCCGCGAGAAATAGACGCGGGTCTATTTGCAGAAATACACTCGGTGGACGAAGGATTAAGTATTGCCCTCGCTCTAAAAGCGGAGAACCCCGTGGCGCCGCGAGAAACAAACAGAGGCGGAAAGTGAGAGGAGAGGAGAAAAGTTGAAAACGTACGATTCTACCAAACGTGACGCGGTGCGTTGGCCCTGTCGCCGGATAAATTTATACGAGGAACGTGATAACCGGGAAATGTGTCCGGGGGCTCTGAAAGTCGCTCGGTCTCACGAATTTTTCTTCGGGGGGGGGGGGGCGTCGCAGTCTCCCTCTTCCGTGCCCTCGCCCCGTGTGCGACGTCCCATAAATAAGAGGGCTAATCAGTGACGCATTCCGGGCACGCGGCGAGGCGTGGAAGGACTCGGACCTTCGCCTCCACCGCCCAATTTCTCGACGCTTTTACACGCGTAATTATCGTCGCTGAATAACGGCGAGAAATGGCTGCATCGTCGCGAGCGTCATCGATTGAAATGCGATCGTGCGAGAGAAGTGTCGCCCCGGTTCGATCGTTCGAAATTTTGCGCGGCACGCGAATCTCGACGAGAATAAACATTGTTCTCCACAATCCCCTATCTCTGCCTCTCAGCGTGCAGTCGATCGTCCATTCTCGCGGCTTATTTAAACAGTCTCTCACGTGAGAGAGAAATTGTCGAGCTACACGGTCAGCCGCGTCACACGTGCGCCTCGAGATAAAGCAAATGGAGCCCTCACTCGCGTCCTTTGTTTCCGTCTTTCCTTTTTCCTTCCTCCCCTCCCCGTTATTGAGATAACTCCCTAATCACTACAGCTGTAAATCTAAGTGGCGACCAGATAAACCAGATAATGCGCCTATGGAGTTACTTCGGATGGAAACGTAATCGCTATCCCGTACCTGGGAAAATACGTTACGCTCCGCAGCGCACGCTCGAGGCCCTTCGCGTCCCTCACGGAGACGTTCTTCCTGCCCAAATCCTCGTAATTACCATCGCGGCACTCCGGCCTGCGTCCGCGATGCTAGAACTTGGCCCAAGTTCTAGTTTCGAGAAATGTGTAGCCAATCAACTTGCAGCCATTATGGAATAGCTGCAAGTTGAGTGGCTACAGATTTCTCGAAACTAGAGCTTGGACCAGGTTCTAGCATCGTGGACACAGACTTTCAGAAATGTGTAGCCAATCAACTTGCAGCCTTTATGGAATAGCCGCAAGTTGATTGGCTACAGATTTCTCGAAATTAGGACTTGGGCCAAGGTTTAGCATCGTGGACACGGGCCTTAACACCGGCGCCAACCGTTCGAACGCGCCGCGACAGGCTCGGAAAAGCGGTGTGTGGTCGTCGATGCCTCGTGAATAATTAATGGCCACGCGAGAGAGTTTTCCTGAAGAGCCTCGCGGGCCCCATAAATAAGACTTAATCAGCGCCGCGGGTGAAAAGGAGGGAACGGAGAGAGAGTGCCGGCTCCCCGGCAATCGGATTCTCTCTTTCCCTCGTTTTCTCCCCGAAGAAGTTGTCTCCCGCGGATTCGATTCTCGCAGCCTCCTCTCGCGTCGCCGCGAGTGTGACTTTTACGGCCGCTGAAACGGGCGATTTATTAATTCGAAATCCTCTCTTTGAGCGGTCCCGTTATTAGTACGCCCGTCCGGGGTTATTTATGATATTGGCCCGCGACCAATTCCAGCGGCAATATCTTGAAAAGAAGTAACATATTGCGGGCAAAAAGAATGACGTTTTCTTTCCTCCGTTTTCCTCGGAGCGACGCGGACGGTCGTCGTTAAATTCAAAGCACGCCGAATTCCTCGCGGAGCAAAAGTCGCGCGGAGCGGAAGCGGAGAGATATCGCGGGACAAATCATATTGTAAACAAAAAAATCGTCGTCTTTAGAGGAACAGATCGCACCGCTGATTCGTTTCCCATCGAGTCGTGCGTCGACGGGGGATTTAATTTAGGACCCGCCTAAAATCACCACCGAGGCATCTCCAGGTCGTTTCGGCGGGTCGTAAGAGATCGGCGTCTTCCACGCCGCGGCCGATTTTGTCGGAAGGCCGAATACCGTTCCGTGACTCAGATCGTGTTTGTTTATGCGCGACGAGTATCCATCCGGCGGGGCGCGCGTTCGCGATTCGCGAAAATCCTCCCGCCCCGTGTACTCGCGTGGGCGAGTAACGCAGATCTTCCATCGCGCGGGGCAGGAATGCTCGCGGTCGCGACTCGCGCGTGCATCTGCATCCGTAAATACGCGTGAGACAATTGCGACAGCGCGCGTCGGCCGGGAATTCAGCAGTTCCTGCCATTTATGTAACGCGACTTTTGTACGGCGACCCCGACAAAGTGTAGCTTCCGCTCGCCGCGCGCGGTCCCGTCGGAATTCGTCTCGAACGCGAGAGAGCAACTACGATCGCACGAATTATCCGCAGCGTCTTATTCCGCGTCGCGCTTCAATTCTTTAGAAATATAATACATCAGTCGCGCAAGATTATCGCTTATTTATCGTCGTTTTGGAATTGATTTTAATGAAAAAAAATCTAGCGCGTTTCTTAAGCAAAAGATGGAAATGTCTCATTATTTATGCCTCAATCGTGTAATATTTAATTATATCCAATTCTAAAATCATCAGATCCTCAGAGATCTGGCACTTTTATTGAATATTCAATGTTATTGTCCATTGAGAGACCTAATTATGTTCTCTTAGAGCATTTAATTATACAGATTTAGTTAGATCTCAATAGACAACGTCGAACGTTCAAGGAAAGTGTCGAATCTCCGAGAATCTGACGATTTTTAAAATTGGATCCCGTGTGATATAATCAGATATTACATGATTCAGACATGTATAATGAGACTCTTTTCCAGTTTTTCCCGCGGGTACGGTTGTAGGAGTGTGGAGATTCTTCGGTCTGTTTACGGAAGAGGAAGCTGGAGCGGTAAATACTGGTGATAAAGCCTCATCCCTTTACGTCAACATCGAGGCGCCGACTTGAATTGAAATCTGTTCGGGCCTCTTTTTCGGCAGTCTGGTTTTGTGTAACGGGTCACGGAAAGGTTCATTCCGCGCGACGGTGTAAACGGCAGACAATGGCCGCGCTGTTGTCCGCCGTTGGCTCTAAATTTACCGTGAATACAATCTGTAAATCTCAAGGTGTGTGTAAGCGTGCGCGCGGTGGCGGCGCAAACGCCACGTTGACAACGATGACAAAGCGAAACTGAGTCACGATTACGAGCAAAACTCTTGCGCAGTCTTCCGTGTCATTGTTGCAAGAATTCAATTGCGACCTAAACGGAACCAGAGTTTTTCCCCCGCGCCAATTAATACGCAAGGACCCGCACTCTGTTATCCTCCATTCGTTTCAGGTATCGCGCCTCAATGGCGATGTTGCGTAACGCGCAACATTCTCCGCCGGTATAATTAATTACATTTTGCCGAGGCGATATTGCCATTACATGGTGCTATATTATTAGAGGATGCATTACATTCTACTAATAACGTTAACGTTCTTCTCTCTCCCGATAAGTGTCAAAGACAATTTATCATTTTAATAATTCGCGCCGATGTAATAGCATTTACGCGTTTAATATTGTAATGCCGCGAATTGGAATTGGACGCAGTTCTGCGACGCGGTACCACCGTGCTTTTTCGCTGGAGCGAATTTCGCGAAACGTCAGAAATCGGCGGAGTCGAATAAGTTTTGCTATCGAATAAACTGTATTTAAGGCGACGTTTCGACCATATGGGCGGTGGTCCCTATCAAGCAACGTGTAATTCAGCTCACAATTAACTGGCGGTGGCAATGATCAAAACGCCATTTACAACGGATAAAAGCTACGTTACGTTGAGTCAGCAGAAATTGGACTGGTTATAGAAATAAAATTCTGCGTTATCTCAAATCGAACTGTAATCTTCCTCAAATGCACTTCCGTGCGTTGTATAAGTTTCTTTTACGAATATAACGAGTTGGATCATTTTTGCATAGTGTACCCCTAGGTCTTTACGATCGCTTTGCAGCACAAAGCTATGAAAATAGCTTCTCAGCTAGGTAGCAAGCTGACGTGACTCGTCGTCACTTTGACGTCAAAATGACGGCAAATAACGTCAGCTTGCTACCTGGGTATTGCATGACTGCGTCCAATTGTACAGTTTAGGAATTCGCTGATGGCCGTGCATAAGTTTGTCGCCCGATTTAGAAGTAATCGCTATGACGCGAATTTTCCGACTTCCATTCACGAAGCTTCTTCTCGCTTACGTAACGATGCACTCATCGGTCGTGTCTGCGTTTCTTACAGAACATCCGGGGAACAAGTCGAGCCTCGGCTTCAGCCGGCGAGGAGGGTACCACCGGCACTCCCTGTACTTCCCCGTCGCGATTTCCGGCGACGCGGAGGACGTCACGGTCGATCACGCGTCCCTGAGATTCCTTCTCCAAGGCGACCACAGACGTCCGCGCGACCTCGAGGCGCTGGTCTATCTCCGCACGCCGGTCTCCCGGCGTCTTCTGCTGCGGCGCGGGATTCCGCAGGGCGAGCCGACGAGCTCCCGATGGCTCGAGCTGGACTCCACCGAGGCGGCCGCGAGCTGGCTCGAGCACGGCCTGGAGAACCACGGCCTCGAGCTGGAGTTCCTGCACGACGGCCGGCCGGCGCGGCGCGAGGTCGCCCACGCGACGTTGAACGTGTTCGCCACGTCGGAGCCCGGAGGCAGGCGAAAGCGATCCACCCCCGAGGAGCTGATGCCGCTGCACAAGGGCCGGCGCAGCAAGTGCAAGGACAACAACAACAAGAAGTGCTGCCGGCACGAGCTGACGGTCATGTTCAAGGACCTGAAGGGCTTCGAGTTCATCGTTTACCCGAAGAGCTTCGACACCGGCTACTGCAAGGGCCGCTGCCCGCCCCGCTACAACCCGGCGCACCATCACGCCCTGCTGCAGAGCCTGCTGTGGAAGGAGGACCGGAAGAGGGTGCCCAAGCCGTGCTGCGCGCCCAGCAAGCTCGACCAGCTGATGATCGTCTACTTCGACGAGAACGACTCGACGCAGCTGAAGGTGTCCTACTGGAAGAATATCCAGGTGCTGGAGTGCGCCTGCTCGTGAAAGAGAGGAAATAAAGGAAGAGGAAGGGAGCGCGAAACAGTCTACCGTGGCCGAGGACTCACCAAAGAATCGTCCGAATTGCGGTTCGGTGATGCCGCACATATTCGCGTTAAGATACTACTACTAATAATGAATATACTGATAATGACGAAAGTAAAAAAAAATAAAATATACAATTATACAGTCGTTCGAGCGGCTCTAGGATTTCCGTGCATTTCCGCGATTCCTTTATAGACTTCCATTATTTCTCTCTTCTCGTTTTTGGTATGATTCGGACGATCCGAGGCATCACCGAACACTCAGATCCTGTAGCTCGCTCAGGGTCTCGCATCGACTGTGATACTAACGATATTTACTTGTCATTATATTCCTTATCACATTAGCGATCGTATTTTATATTATTAGGACATTCTCGCTGTATCCCGGGTCCGGTTGAGAGAAAGCGAATCGTCGACAAGAACGTTGATACGGCTTTCCTTTTCAGCCGGGCGAGCGTCTCTCCCGTACGAAGAAACGCCATAACGTCATCGTGTATCTATAACGCATACCCTCTATCTGTTAATTTATTACCATCACGTAAGCTCCTGCGAAACGAGCTGGTCGATGTCTATTAACGTAATTTTTGTGACGCAAGCTAAAATCTTCGCTCTACCGAACCTTTGTTTTGTATCGAGGTTTTTGTTAGTTCCTATAGGATATTACGACTAGAATCTCTAGAGTATCCCGAGTAAATCTCTCGATCCCCTTCCCTCCTCCCTCGAATGCAGTCTAACGATCGCGAACACGTATTACGTTGTTGCAAAAATTTCGATGCGTTTTCTGCGAGATCCGCCGCACGCTAATCTCCATGCATGCGTGAATTTGCAGTTCTATCTGAGATAATATATTCGCATTTTATCTACGAAGTAACGTATATCGTAAATTTATTGAGCGCGCGACAAGATCGAGAAAATGTCTTACTAATGCGTCGATATATCAAATTGTATAAAAATTTATGATCACGCACACTATTGTAAATTATAATCTAATTAACCACCCACAGCGGCGCCCTTTTACCATCATTATTCCTGCCCCACTTATTGACAACTTATCTGATGTTGGAGATCCATTTATATATAGCGAAATCTTAAATATATCATCTATCAGTTTTCAACAGACGCGCTTAATTCTTTTTCATATCAGATAAATTATAATTTAAAACAAAGTTTATCAAGGATTAATATTCCAAGAGCCGTCGTTTTTCACAATTTTCTCAATTTTAAATCGATACCTTAAGAATAAAGTCACAGATAAAATTATATTAGGATCAACGATTTGAAGATTTATGTTATTGATTTTTATATTGTAACTTTATAGATAAACAGTACAAGATAGATTTCTCTATCATCCTTATTTTCCTAGAAGCGTTTCTTAGAATCAACAATATATCTACAACATATTTGTAATCTTCATACATTAGCTCATTTATTTAATCAACTAATCGAATTTTTCTCAAGTTTGATCAGTTCATAGCTTCCTGGTCGACAAGAAGTAGAATTGAAACATGCGTCGTTATACTCGAAAAATCGTCAAAATTATCAGAGAAGCATGATTCGAGAAGAAGTTAACGAATTGAAATGCGATTCGAATATCCCGCCTTTCGGAAGATGCAAATTCAGGTATGTAAATTTAGTAGCTAAATTCAGGATATTAGGAGAATATGATTTGGAAGAAGTAACGCAAACTTATCTCTCCAACGGCGCGAATTTGGAAACATATTGTTGCAAAATACGAACAGAATTGTTTTTTACATTTCTGTATTAATTTCTACCATTGGCGATTCGAGATCTTCGAAGACTAATAAAAGTCCAATACAAAATTTAAACTAATCAATAATAGTTGCACATAATTTCCGAGTTATAAAAAAACTCATTTACTTTTTATTTTCTACCATTTTACACCTGTATTCAGCTAAATCGTAATGGAAAAGTTAGAATTATTATCTTCAACAAATATATCGAAGAAAACTTCCTACATTACACAATTTTCCAAGTTTTTAATTCATTATCTTAGCAATTCAACTTCAATAATAGATTTAGAGTAATGAAATTAGAATATTCAGCTTAAGTGTTGAATTTATTAATTTTTACTGTATTATTTCAATTTTTATTAAATTTATAAATTTAATTCTATTACCTTATTAATTATATAGTTGTAGCTTGGTAAATAACGTTTCAAAATTAACATCGTGCAACTGTAAAATCGATGCTTCGAGTCAAGTGTTATGATTTTATGAATAGAAGAAAGTGTGAAATCTTCCATCAGTGCGAGGGGTTATCTCGCTACGACAGCAATAAAGTTACAGTGATCGTGACGCCGCTGCTTACCCCGTTCGAGTTCGAAGGTTACCTTGTGGACATTATGCAATCACGCGCATTCACGCCACACCGGGTCGTTATAAAAATACTATTGTCAAAGATTTTTATTTAGCAGCCGATAACGACGGAGGAATGGAAAATCTTCGCCGTCTCCTTTAGTAAACAGCGCGAAACGCGAGTTTCATTCACAAACTATAATCGTATTATCGATCATGAATCAAATATAAATCGGTCAGCGACAATATCCGAGCGTGATGAATGAAACGTTCGATATAGCACCTCGAATACAATCTGGATTGAAAGTTACATTTACAAAGGAGACGATTTCTTTTTATATACACAAAAGTATATACGATATAAATGAGCAACGTATAAAATATCAATGACAACTTTATCTTCTGGACGTTTTGCCGATTCCTCTTTTGCCGGAGAATAAATGCTTCGGCATCTTATTGCCGATAAAACGATCGCCCTCGCCCTTGAGACCCTTCTTAGCTATCTTCTTCTTCTGTGCCTTGTGTGCTATATTGCTCAGCTTCGTCTTCATCTGCAACAAATACCAGAATGATATTACGTTACCATTTACTAAGTAGCGCGAATAGATGTAATGTTCTTTCGTGTAAATTAGAAGACAGTTAAAAGAGAGATTTAGCGATGCTCTAGCTCTCCACTTTCTGAGCACTTTCTAAATTTGATTTTTTCGATTGAAAATTAATTTGCTGAAAACCATATACAGGGTGTCCTAAAACCACCGGAGGTCCTCTTAATGACAGATTT